CTTCCAGGACAAAAGTTCAAACCAGAGATATAGGGAAAAGGTGAATATAATCAGAAATTCACAAGGGTGAGTAGCCCTCAGAAATGAAAAGACCAGGGAAAATTAGGACCATCTGTGGTTCACCTACTAGCTAAGGTTTTTTTCCTAAATCAGTTGTTATCTGAAAACCATTATTTTTTTATAGGTTTGCCATGTAGTAATAGCAGGAACTTTGGTAAAGAGTGCCATATTTCAGGGAGAACTCTAGTTGCAAATCTGTCTACTGCAGTGAAAATTATTAGAGAGAATGCTTTGCTATGCCGTAAATTCTTATGTCCTACCAAACTTCATGCAGGCAGAACCTCAAATCAGCTTAACAGCAACATCTTCTGGTTTTTTATCTCACTTACCCTGGCAATCCATTCATCCACAAGTTATGAATTTGACTGTAAAGAAGGATCGAGTCATGTCTTCCAAAACCAGAAACCCAAAGGCAGAAATGTGGTTATTATTCCCTTTAGAGAGGATACTTTCAAAGAGAATCTATACTTCCCAGGAGCCCTTTATTAACATTCTAAGTATAAATCTCTGAGATTATCCAATAAAGCAATTTAGGATAAAGTCTTCTGCAGAAATGTTTGATGCATATGGAGCAGTGATTCCCAAAGTTTGCTGCACTTTGGATGCATGAGGAGATCGTTAAAAATACTGACACCTGGCTCCCACCTACAGATATTCTGATTTAATTTAACTGCATGAGACCTGGGCATCAGGATTTTTTATATCCCTGCCTCCACATTCTAATATGCAGCAAAATCTGGGAACCATTGCTATAGAAAGTGGTGTCATAAAATTTTCCTGCCTTCTGTTCTGGGATTGACAGGAAACAAAAATCCTAAGCCCCTATTTCTGGGATCTTTTGGGGCTGAATGAGCCAAAGAAAGCACAAAGATAACACCTATCATCTTGGAACCATTTTCACATGACCATGGTATTTTCTCTCCACAGAATTTCAGGCAAATGTATAATAGAGAGCCAGCTGAAACCAATATCAAGCAAGGACCAGTTTGGGGAGTGGTTTAGGTAGATCTCTTAATGCTAAAACTATAAGCAGGAAAAGACCTGGTATAGGGTAGAGATGTAAGGCTAAACTCGAATAGCAAATGTAAACCACTCTACCTCCAGACTGTGGGGACCAGGAAGCTGGGGAGGGACGCCAAACATCTGATACAGTTCCTTTTCCCATCTACAGGTTCCTGCACCAAGGCAACTTTGCTTAAGTGCAACAAAGTCTGGTTCACCCCACCCTTAAATTGCACATCCTCCCTTTCCTCTTGCTGAGGTAACCACACACTGTACCCATAGTGGGTGTTGGCTCAGTAGAGGTCATTATGCCTTTGGCTGTCCAGCTGGAGTCTCTGTCTGAAAACCACTGGAAATAAGAAGGATGTATCATCTCAACGGGACAGCTTTGAGGAAATAATTGCCTGGGGTTGAGAAGGAATCACGCTTGTCCAGTTTTACAGCTTTATGACCTGGCAGGAAAAACCAGGATAAGAACATGGCTAACGACTGGGCTGTATGAAGCACCTTTCCTTGCAGCCGTTTTCAGCTGGAGGCTGAGAGAGACAGCTAACTGCTAAAGCCTCTTTTTCTTTCTGGTAACCTCCACTTGGCATTTCCAGGGTTTGTTAACAGAGCAGAACTGCACCACAGTGTTGCTCTCAGTGCCAAGGAAAGGGGAACTGTAATGTAGAAAGAGGAACAGTTGGGATCAGATAGTGGATGCTCTTTTGCCCAGACTGGCTTTGGGAAGGAATGCTTCTCATTATTGTGTACAGTTCTAGATTTCCCTCCTCTAACTTGTGACGATAATTATTCTGAAGTTTTCGATGGCCTCTGTTACAGGTTGAATTGTGTCTCTTTGAAAAGATATACTGAAGTCCTAAGCCCCAGTACCTCAGAATGCGATCTTATTTGGAAACAGGGTCTCATAGAGGCAATCAAGTTAAAACAAGGTCATTTAAGTGGGCTCTAATCCAATGTGACTGGTGTCCTAATAGAAAGGGGAAATTGGACACCGTCACAGACACACAGAGGGAAGAAGATGTGAAGGCACACAGGGAAAAGACAGCCAAGTGACTGGAGTGGTCTGCAAAGCAAGGGATGCCAAGGTTTGCTGGCAAACATCAGAAGCCAGAAGAGGCAAAGAATTCTCTCCTCAAACCATCAGAGAAAGCACAGTCTTGCCAAACCCTTGATTTCTGACTTCTAGCCTCCAGAACTGTGACACAATATTTCATGTTTTAAGCCACCCAGTTTTTGGTACTTTGTTACATCAGCTTTAGGAAACTAACACAGCCCCAAAAGCAGACTGGCATTGATTAAATCAGTCAGATTTTACCTTAACAAACCTCAGCGAATTACTGCTGCTAGCCAAGGAGATCACAGTCTAGGTCAGTGGTTCTCAAGTAGGCATTTTTCACAATAGTCCTAAACTGCAAACAACCCAAATGCCCATCAATAACTGAATATGTAGCATTATATTCACATGATGAAATACTTTAAAATAATGAGAATAAACAAAGTATAGCTACTCGCAACATGAATGAATTTCACTGGCACAAAGTTGAACAGCTAGACATAAAAAAGTACATACTGAAATGATTTTATTTATATAATGTTCAAAATGGTTAACGCTAATCTATGATGTTAGCAGTCAGAATTGATTTTCTGTAGGCGGGGTTAGTTATTGGAAGGGAGGTATGAAGGGGCTTCTGGTTTTCTAGTAATACTGTATTCTTTCATCTAGTTGCTGTTACCACAAAATGTGTTCATTTCGAAAATTCAATTACCTGCATGCTTATGATTTCTGCACATATTCATATTATTGTTCAATAAGACCTATTAATATAAAAATAAAAACAAAACCTTTGGGTTTATGACTTCTATAGATCCCCCAAGATCAGCTGAGACGCAGGCTAGTTCTATACTTGAGGCAGTCTGCCCAACCTAAACCCTGCAGCAGACCAGTCTAGTATCTAACGCAAACAGCACACAGGGTGGGGGTTGGGGAAGTGGTTCCACTTTCTTCATCCGTTCTTTCTCCATACTGATACTTGATTGCAGGAGATTTTTTTATAGTATAATAATTCTAAGGAGCAAGCTAAAGGCTGAAAAGCAGAGGAGAGCTGGTAAATGGAAAGAGGCACAGTATTTCAAGTGCAGGAAAATTTTCAAAAGATGGGGATAATCAGAGTCAAAGAAGAAGAAGGCAGGTTATTCACTGAATTAGTTCAGAGTTAAAAGTTTCATTTGATTATGAGTTCAATGAGGGTAGAAAAGTAATTGATAGCAGTCTTTTAGGCTTTTTTTTAGACATCCTAAAGAGAAAATAGAGTACTACTCATGGGAGGGGGAACTACTCAATGTCTCACTGTAGTCTTTTTGTCATAGAGCTTGTTGCTATGGAGAAGGCCATGAAGGCAGCAACTAAGAGAAATAAAGGCTCTGGCAGAAGTAAGCACAGGGATAGTGGATTAAACAAAAATTCCTTGAGCAATTACCAAGTAGCAGGGCCTATAAATGATATGCTTTCCATTTTTTTCCTAACCCCTACCTCTCTAAAAGTACATGGGCCTGGTCTGTCACTATAATTTAACTAAAATACACAGAAGCCTGAATGGGCCTAACAAAGCCTAAGCCTGGCAGAGAAAACACAAGGCCATTTAGCAACGCTTCTTCATGCCAGGGGGAATCAGCTACCTACCCACTCTATCCTGGGGAAATTGTCTCCAGCTGCCTAAATTACAAAGTTGATGCCCTATGATTTCTTTGTTCTGTAAAGCCTGAGGGATATGGGATAATGAAGTATCAGAAGAGGTGGAGAACAGCTCCTTGTTTCATAGAGTAGTCAGAGACAGAGAGACAGAGAAGAGAGAGAGAGAGAGAGTTAGTTCTCACTGGTATCATTAAGAGGCAACAGCAGCGACCTGGGAGCAAAGCTCTGCCTGAACTGGTTGAAACTACTGCTGTGGGAGAAAAGGCTAGTTGCCAAGTCTGTTAATAGCTTCTGCCCATCGTTGTTAAAGCAGCTTTATCAACCAGTGCAGGGCCAGGACCTGCTTTTAGCAGTGTAAGCACTGAGACCAGAGGGTTCAACAACATCTTCCAGCAGATCTTGCCACAACCAATGATTAACAATTCCCTTTTCTGTTCCACACAGGTGATCACAGAATTGTGTCAGAGCTGGAAGGACCACAGAGATACGCAGTCCAATGTCCTCATTTTACAAATGAGGAAACTAAGGCCCAGACCAGTTAAATGCCCTTATCAATAAGGCAAGAAAACACCAAGGCTCTCAAAGGGGGCTTCCCTCCTTGGAATCATATGCCAAAGCTGGGGCTAGTGATTAGCCTCAGTTTATACAGAACTAGATTTATTGCCTAGGTATCACTTACCTGGGTTCATACATAAGTACCAGGAAATAAATTATTTGTTAAAAGATGGCATCAGTAACAAAATAGGTCTGTCTTTGAGCCTATCTGAGAGTGTTTTGTTACTGAAATATCAAAAGAACCTCATTTGAAACAAGCTTACTGTATCTGGGAAGCCTGCAGCCTGGCCAACTGTACTGCCTGACTGTGCTCTCCCGGTGGGGAGGAACAAGCTGGGTGAGAGGGCACAAAAGGACATCTCTCTCCCCTGGAGATTAGTTTATTTTGCAATTTGCAAAATGAAACTCAAAAACGTCTGTAACTGAAATTTTTCCTTAGGGCTTCAGGATTTAAATATATGACAGTAGACAGATAACATAATCCACAAGGGGATATAAACATGTAACTGCCCTAAGCATCCCCTGGGAGTAAGCTGCTAGGTGGGAAAAATGTGTTGGCTGTTGTTTTGGGTGGGGGAGGGATGGGAGAAAGTAAGTACATATTGATTTCCCTAATGTTTCCTTTGTGTGGCTGCTGTTGCCATGTGGTGGTCTGTTGCTATGAAGATTTGTGGTGCCAGATAACGGCTGCTAGGCTCTTTATGACTGTGCTGTTGGTAGAGCTGTTTCTGCAGGAGTCAGGCTAGTAAGCAACTGGCTAGGCAGTGGAGAAAGCTTGGTCACTGTGAACCATCTCTTTCCAGGTAAGTGCTGCCTGAGGCAAGCCTGAAGGTGAAGGAGTGTTAATAATGGCCAAGAAAAGAGACAAACCAGTAGCTGAGAACCATCTTAACTTTCCAGTCTAAATATCTAAAATGAGATATTTCATGGTTCACACACATACTTGCCTACATCAGAAATCACACAGAATAAACCAAAGGTAACTATCAAGGTCACTATTTCCAAGAAAGAAGATTAACGGACAGCCCTTTCCTTTTAGTGAGAAGGATAAAGACTCACAGCCAGGATCTGCAATCAGATGAGGAGGAAGAACCACTGAGGCAGGTTCTCAGCGGAGCTACCACAGGCAAACTAACTTCCTGCTAAGCAAAACCACTGCCTATTACTCTGATAATGAGAAAACTGCAACCCACAGACCAAAGCACAGGGCTCAACCACAGAGTTTGAAGCACAGCCAAATGTTCTCCCAGGTAACAGGAGCCAGAGTACACAGAAGTCAGCTTGGATCTGTAGATGTCAGCTATTTATTCACCCTCTTCATCCTCCCACACGATTACTCTTCTTTCCATTTCAGATTGTATGCACACTTTTATTAGAGTATACATAATTTAAAGATAACATAGCCCCAATGCTGTCCATTATGGTAAACTACTAGCTACCTGTGACAATTTCAACTTAAATAAAATTTAAAATTTAGTTCCTCAATGCCATATGCCACATTTCAGGTCCTCAATATGACATGTGACTAGATTATCATTTTGGACAGCATATTTCCATCATAAAAAGTTCCACTGGACAGTGCAGATCTAGCCCAAGTCCCAGGAATTAGAAGTTGAAGGCCAGGAGAAGTTAAGAGACCCAAGATCATACAGCTAGCTAAAGGTACAATCTGTTCTAGAATCCAACTCTCCTGACTCTAGTTCAGATATTTGTTCTGTACTACGATGCCTTTAAGTCACTCATATTCCTTGAAACAGTTCTTCTCAAACAGTTGCAGACACTCCTAGTTGTTGGAATAAAAATATATACCCTGATGTGGAGATGGGCATGATAGCTTTTCTAAGTTTGCTTGTCCGTGTATATGACAAAACTTTTAACAAAAACAAAAACCGAAAACTTCCTCCTCCCCACCAAATCATAAAGCTAGAATTTAGCTTCAGAAGATAGGCCAAGCTTATCATATAGCTTTTCATATCCTCTGGCATACAAGGGAGGTGCACTCACTTCAGCTTCAAAAACATGGTCTTATTATAGTACTACAACTTCTGTCTTTCTGATATTCTCGTAAAAGAAGATCAGACTAATTTCAGAGATGTTATAAGAGGGATTTTCACATGGAGTGGGAGGGTGAACCTAGATAAATGACTATCACAACTTTTTTTAGCTGCAGAATCCTCTTCAAATATAGTTTTACAAAGGAGCCTAACATATAAATCACCCAAAAGTAGAACTGCTCTGAGATGCATCTGGTGGGGTAGCAGAGGCAGGGGCTGGGGCCTGCCCACTCAACACCTTTCACTCTTATGACTGCTTCTGAGGTTCCTCCAAAGCTAAAATTCCTCAGAGTATAACTTCAAATCATTTCCTTTGAAAATATCTGAACGTTCTATCTCTGACTTTTATTATTTCAAAAGACTGGTGGTGGAAGCCACTGTTAAAAAAGAAAGCAAAGGGGCTGGCCCTGTGACCGAGTGGTTAAGTTCGCGCACTCTGCTTCAGCGGCCCAGGGTTTTGCTGGTTTGGATCCTGGGTGTGGACATGGCACCGCTCATCAAGCCATGCTGAGGTGGCCTCCCACATGCCACAACTAGAAGGACCCACAACCATATACATATACATATATGTATATACATACTTATACATATACAACTATGTACTGGGGGGACTTGGGGAAAAACAGAAGAAAAAAAGAAGAAGGAAAAAAAAGGAGATTGGCAACAGTTGTTAGCTTCAGGTGCCAATCTTTAAAAAAAAAAAGTAAGTACATTACAAAACCCCTCATTATTTTTAGTCAATACATAGCAAATGAACCCAAGACAGATGACTAAAAATTACAATTTTTACCTACCTGCCTGAAACACATGGGTACAAGGCACAGTCAATTTTATTAGTCAAATATTTACTGACTATTTTACTTTTTGTGTAAAGACTAAACTAGTCCTTGGGGAAATAAAATGATATATGAAATGCAATTCCTGGCCTTAGCCATCTTATAGTCTAACAAAGGAGAAAAGACACATAGGAATTCTAAGTGAAAACAAATAAGAACGAGCTTATATTTATGTCATTGTAGTCCTAGAAGGAGAGGAGAAAAGATGATGGCACAGAAAAAATGTTTAAAAAGTAATTGCCAAAGACTCCCAAAATTTGAAAAAAAGACAAATTTATAGATTCAAAAAGCTAAGTGCACCCCCAAAGAGGAGAAACCAAAAAAAAATCCATGTCAGACACATCATACATTGTAATCAAAAACTTTGAAGGCAAGCAGAGGAAAATGACATATAACTTATAGAGGAATAAGAATTTAAGTGACTGTGTATTTTTCAGAAACCATAGAGACTAAAAGGAAATGGAATATTTTTAAAGTTCTGAAAGAAAAGAAATGTAAACCTAGATTTCTGTATTCAGAAAAAAGATCTTTTAGGAATAAAGGTAAAATAAATACATTCTCAGAGAATTAATAGTCAAATGAACCTGCTCTAAAAGAATTACTAAAGGAGATTCTTCAGACAAAAGGGAAACAGAGGGCCTCCAGGAATATCAAGAATGAAGGAAGAACAATAGAAATGTAAAGTATCTGGGCAAATATAATAAACTATTCTCTTGAGTTCTTGAAAGTATATATGATGACTGAAAGGGAAAATTTTTTAAAAGTTGTCTGATGGGATTTTCAATGTATTAGATGTAATGCATGAGACCAGGGGTTTGCAAACTTTTTCAGTAAAAGACCAGATAGAATATTTTTTACTTTGCAGGCCATATGGTCTCTGCTGCAATACTCTGCCACTTTAGCACAAAAGTGGCTGAAAATATGTGAAATGAGTATGGCTATGTTCCAATAAAACTTTACATATGGACAATGAAATTTGGATTTCATATAATTTTCACATCTCACAATATTCTAGTTTTGATCATTTTTTTCAACGATTAGAAAACATGGCCTGTTTTTGTATGGCCCATAGGCTCATATTAAAAAGCTATACAAAGGGATGAAGAATGAAGAGTAAGAGATACCTAGGGAGGTTGGAGCCTAGAAAACTGGCAGGATGGTAAAGTACGTGACGAAGGTAGGTCTAATGAAGAGAAATAGAGAAGAAGAAAAGAGAAGCAAAATTTTAGGAGAAACAAGTTTATTATTTTTCAGATGTTTTGAACTTAAGAAATCAGTTTCTGGTAATGTTCAAGTCAGCAGTATGAAACGGAATTAGGCAAAAGGTCAAGTCTAGAGATAAAAGTTTTGGGATTGTCCATACAAGAGAAACAGCTGAATCCATGAATATGTAAGACTGTATTTACTAAAGAAGGCTGCTGAAGTAATTTTTGGGAGTTATGATGTAGGAGGGCTATGCAGGGAAGAGGGGCAGAGTCTTCTAATTGCTTCCCTTTCTTTCTTAGCAGGAGCCTCTATTTTGTGTGGGGAAGCAATGCATCCAGCTAAAAAGCTATATTTCCTTGCCTTTCTGGCAAAAGGGGTAGCCAAGGAGATGTAGGCATAAGTCTTAGGGTATGGCTTCTGGGAAAGCTTGTCAAAGGGAAATGGACTGGGTGGGAGGCACCTTCCTTTTCAAGCCTGGAAAGCAAATATGATGGCTAGAGTTACATTAGCAATTTTGCAATAAAGAAGTAACTTTAAGGAGCCTGGAACATTGGTTACTTTGTGAAGCCATCACACCAGCTCTAGGCTGCCTACCTTCATAATACTCAGAATAAATCATTATTACTTCATCTTAGGTTGCTTGCAGCCAAATCTCATTCTTAACTCAATGTTTCCTCAATTTTCCCCATTATGGCACATATAGTAAATGAAAAATTTACTGTGGATAAGGCTGCTTGTCTGGGAGAAAGGGAGTGGGGCACCAACTGCCACAGGTCCCAGCTAGAAGACAACAGGACAGAACTGACCAGTATTTCAGCATCCTAAAACCCATCAGGAATTTCTGACCTAATGAATACAAGGAGGAAGAGGGAGTGACACAAAATAAAGTAAATAACCAGTGAGAAAGAGAAATGAGGAGATTTAGGGAAGTGCAGTATGACAAAGACAGGAGAGGACAGTTTCAAGAATAAAGAAATAGTAGAACTTCTCAACGTGTGGTATGAGAAGTGTTTCAGTCAAATTGTGGCAGAAGAAATCTGATGGCAAGATGTTATATGATACTGGGAAGGTAAAAAGAGCAATAGGAAACAGCAATAGCAAGTAGTGAAGAAAAGGGGAGAGGTCAGTTCAAAGGGGTAGCAAGGATGAGGAAACTTTCTTACTTTCACTGTAAGAAAGTGTTGCAGAGAGAAAGACTTTAAATAGAAGAGGAAAAAATGAAGATAAAGAAAAAAGATAAAATTCATGGTATAAAGTCTCAAAGAATCTTCAGAATAAGGAAGGAAAAAAGAAATAGGATAATAAAAATATGTTTTAAGAAAGAGAGGAGGGAAGCTTGGGGGATTTAGGTGGGTAGCTTTGATCTTAGCTTAGTTTAAGAGCATGAAGAGAGAATGAATTGGGTTAATGAATCTTGAGAATGAAGTAAGCATTGGGGACTGTGAATGTAACAAGGAGATCAAGGGATCGCTTAGTAGTATTGCAAGCTCAGTTTACGTCAGCTAGCATATACTTGCATCAAAAACAGCTGGGTTTTGTGAATTCTTCCACTTGTCGGTCTAGGATCAGGAGTTGAAAAATGGGAGGTGGAGATTTGCTGAATTTGAGACCAGCAAGGTAAGTAAGTTTCATTTTTCTAATGAAACAAATCTACATATAACAAGTGTATAATGAAATTTCATCATTGGTGTTAATATTTTTCAGTTTTCATTCCCATGATTGGTATATGAAACCATTCCTTTTCAAGATGCCATATTCAGCTAATTCCAATGTTTAAGTCATAGATTCTTTTTTTTTTTTTTGAGGAAGATTAGCCCTGAGCTAACATCTGCTGCCAATCCTCCTCTTTTGCTGAGGAAGACTGGCCCTGAGCTAACATCCGTGCCCATCTTCCTCTACTTTCTATGTGGGATGCCTACCACAGCATGGCTTGCCAAGCAGTGCCATGTCCTCACCCAGGATCCGAACCGGCGAACCCTGGGCCGCTGAAGCAGAACATGTGCACTTAACCACTGCGCCACTGGGCTGGCCCCAGTCATAGATTCTTATAACTTAAAAGCTAGTCCTTACTGGTCACTTAGTTCAACTCTACTTAAGAGATGAGGTAACTAAAGCCCAAAGAAGTTAAGGAACTTGCTCAGGGTCACAATGATAAGTGGCAGACATACAAAGGAAAGTCTCCTGATTTCCACCCCAGTGTTCTTTCCACTATACCACAAATTCTTCCAGAAAGCATATCTGCCAAAGTAAAATACATCACTGCTGATGGCCTTCCACTTAGTGCTGTGGTCTAAAAAGGAAAACTGATAGCACCTCCTGGAATTCTTATCTAAAGTCAGCCTTGCCTTTCTGTAAAACACCATAGAAGCCTGTAAGCAATTTTGCCTCAGCCAAAGAATATGGTCTACCTTAAGACTTCTTATTCATTGTTTCCAGGACCCTGGGTTAAGATAAATCTTGTGAACCAGGAATAGACTTGGGACCTGTTATTTGATTTGAAGTGAAGAAGCACAAAGTGGTATCAGGTAGAATCAGACCTCTGCATAAGTGCTAAGAAAAAGTCTCAAAAAAGCCAAGGAAAACATTCCAGGTTACAATTGGGTCCTCTTAATAGTTCTAAGGTTGAGCTTAGTCGAGGAGGATTTTTGCAGTGCTGGCTGAATTATGAACAGCCTAAAAAGAGATGGGATCTGCAGGGACTTAAAAATGCCTCCAAGGCAAGGTGTACAGTGAGAGATAGGGAAGAAAGGAGCAACACTGCAGGACAGGTAAGCAAAGAAATCAGGAAGAATTGAGGCCATGACCCCTACACTTGTTCTCGGCAAGGTGGCTCAGTTCTAAATGGACCTCAGGGTCCCTCATTCCCCTCAGAGGCCAAGCATTCACAGCTTCTCTCTAAACTGTAAGGGTTTTTCTGTTTGAAGATAGTAGTTTGCTGGGCAAAGAGACAGACAGAAGTACAGAGAGTCAGGTAGGAGACAAAAAGCTTAGAAGGATTTTTTTAAAGTATCTGTATATAGTTCTTATTATTAACTTGAGGAAGGACTCAGTACACTAGATCTTATAGATCTGCAGAGAATGATCTTTGTAGGAAATCTCTGCTACCTGAAGATGAAAAGAAATGTGAACCAACTCTTATCCCAATTCAGACCTTTGCCAACCAACAGCTCAGGTGAATGCCCTCTGGGATGGCCAGAAACCAAAGAAAAGTAGAGAATATAATTGCAGAACAGTTCCCTTTCCCTTGGGTTGAAAGAAAGAGAAAGGAGTTACTAAGCCCTGAAACACAATACTGTAAGTGGGAGGAAATATGGCATTAAAAGTAGGAGAACTGAAAATCTTACAGATTTAAATAAATGAGAGTGATCTCAAACCTGGTGAAAGTAGTATTTATTTTGAGTTTCAGAGAAGGTATAGAATTTTGGAAAGTATTTGACACGATTTCTAAGTTCAAACAATATTATGGTATCTATTAGATATATATTAACTTAGATCCAGAAATGACAATGACATAGATGCATTCATTCATTCAAATAAATATATATTTTTTCATTCTCCCTAAAGCCCCAGTACCATAGTCCTATATCCTAGCTGTAAGTCATTCTAGTTCTTCTATGTGGGATGCCACCACAGCACGGCTTGATGAGTCACGTGTAGGTCTGCACCCAGGATACAAACTGGCAAACCCCAGGCCACCATAGTGGAGCCCATGAACTTAACTGTTCAGCCACGGGGCTGGCCCCTCAAATAACTATTTCTGAGGGCCCATTATAGGTGCCAGGTATTAAGAGATGGGGATACAAGGATGAGCAAAACGGAGTCCCTGAGCACAGAGAACTTCTAAAACAGTGGAAGAGAGACATTAATAGAAAATACAATTATATACAAAATTGCAAATTGTGATGAGTGCTATGAAATAAAGTACAGGGTGCAATAAAAGTGTATAACAGGGGAACTTGGTAATAGGCTGCTAGTGATAACCAGAGAGCCTTTCAGAGCAAATAACTTACAAAAAAATTTTGCTAGCATCCCCTTGGCAGGGAGGGAGAATAGGGATCCTCAGATAAAAAGGTATCCATTGTTCTCAGGAGAGTGAAAGGGTTAGCCTCTCTCTCTTAGAAAGTTTTCATCAGGTTCACATGCACGAAATGCATCTTGCCTTTGGAGAAAAGTCACCGTCATAAAGATAGGTAGAAAAAATAAGCAGGAAATTGATGTCTTCTATCTTCAATATATTGAGGCAGTAGGGCCTGAAGGTTGCCTGGTGGCAGAGAGCTGTGGTCTGGATATGTCTGTCATTCCAAGAGACTCTGGCTGTTCAAATGTTTGGCTATAGGCAGATGACATTTTAAAAATCAGAGATAGCCACTTGTGATTTCAAGACTGTATACTGTATACACATATCCAGAGTCAAACTCCAGGGCCAACCTCTCTTTCCACTGTCTCTGCTTCAGTTTCTAGCACAATACGATTCTTTTTTTCATTATTGTCTCAGGCACACAATAAAACCTCACAACAACGTTATTCTGAAAGCTGAAGCTTTACTACATTGCTATTGACAACAAAGCCAAGAACACAAAATTCTTAACCTGTGTCACATCATTGCTTAGTGCATGGCAGACTTTAAATAAATACTGAATCACAACAAAATATTCAGAGGAACAGACTTTTATGAGAATGACAAGAATGAAATGCCTGAATTTCCAGAGGCAGATTGACAAGACAGCTTATGATAATCAGAGATAATGAGCTGTGCTCCTTTGGGCCTCTTAACTCCTCAGGGTGGGGATGCTTTTAAAGTCTGGTTGTTGATGCAGAGACCTGACGGGCGCAGCCTCTCTAACCACCCATACTTTGACAAGGACTTGGATTCTTGATAAAAAGAATGTATGTGCTGAAATCATATTGCCACAGATGATATGAAGGAATTTGAAATATCTGGTTAAATCCTGTTGCATGACTATTCTATTTTTTCAGGTTTATGAACTTCTAAAACAGAAGAGATTCTGTTCTCAGGGGCAAATGGAATACACAAGAAGTCTGGATGGTAGCCTTGGGCAGTAGCACCCTATAGTGAGCCAACTGCTTAGTGGGTGCCTGAAAACAACACCATGTAAACATTTCCCTGTTGTGTAGGCCTATAAAATCTGTACTAAGTGACAGATATATGAAGTGGTGTGTGTGGCTGGGCAATGCGGCAACCAGTGGGAAGGCACTGGCTTCACCTCCAGGTGTTAAAAAAGGCAAGAGCTCCATATGCAACGAGCCAACACTAAGTCAATTTAAGAGCGACTGTTTTCCATTTCCTTGACTCCCATAGTTGCCTTTCTATTACTTTTTCTCTTCAAGACTGACACCGAAGTTCATTTATATTCAAATTCTCTATAACTGAGAGAGGGTTATAGAGAGTATAGACACAGTCTGAATTACCTGGTCAGCACCTATCAAATGACTGCTTAAGTACCAGGACCAACACTGTTGAATATCTATGAAGGGGAGTTAATTAATTTAAAAAATTGACAATCTCTAGAAGCTGGATGATTTTATTAGTAAGTTTGCTGTAATCCTCTGGGTAGGTAACACCATCAGACTATGGTCATTTGAGACTCCTAATAAATATCTGGTATTATTTACAACAATAAGCCCGTGTTGGCAAAAGCAGTTTGAGAAGGGATGGGAAAGCAAACATAGCACTTACCATCTTCTGTTTCCTGCCACACGATGCCCTCGAGGTTGACACTTGTCCCAGGTTCACAGGGCCCCAGGCACTCGGGCTCTGTGGCAAGAGCCACATCACATGTGTTGACCCCAACTGATCGGGTACGAACCATGATCTGCTCACAGGGGGACGAGATGTCATTACTGACCACTGGCACCAAAAGGTGCAGTGGCAGCACTGCTGGCGTGGAGACAGGGGACTCCATCTGTGGGGGAAGAGAAAGTAGTGGCTGAGTTGCAGGGAGAACACTTAGAGGAAATATCTTCCCTGTATTTAATCTAGTCCTACACCCTTTCCTGCCAGAGTGTGGAGGGCTCCAAATATAAGACTTTGGTCCTTCCTTTCAAGTTATAGCTCATGATACCACTACAAATCTAGTGGTGTAGATGAGTGCACCCTGTGCTAGGAGGAGTTCTATTTCTTATTAACGATCTTCCTCATAAACAGTGCTTGGCTAAAAGTGTATAAAACAATCTTGTGTCATTTAAAAATCTCTATTGAAAGAGAATCAGGGCCAGACTTCAACAGCAACAAAACACAGAGATTGATGAGAAAGAAAAGGCCTAGCTTCTGAGACATGTTCTACTGCTGCCACTATACGTCCCACCAATCTATCATTCAATAAATAATACATTAATCAGGTATAAAACCCAATAATACAGGTGAGGATAAAGAGACGGGAAAATATCCAGATCCTAGGAATGCCACTTCAAGAAAACTGGAGCTTTAATTCATCTTCAGTTAGAAGGAAATCTACTTAAAAGTTATAAGAGGGCTGAGAGCAACCTGATGGGGGTTTCTAATGCTCAGAGATAATAAAAGCAATTGGATAATAAGAATGGCATTTTGGAGTACGAATCTAACATCAAATTTATCTATGAGACAGGAGGTGCTGTTACGATCCAGAAGCGAATCCAAGCAGTCTGCAGATGAAGCTGATTACCCACACACAGATAAAAACAGTCGAACACAAGGATCAGCAATCTACCACCAAAACTAGAATTTCTCACAAGAATGCAATTACCTAGATTCCAAGAAGAATGCAATACATTTAGAGTTAGAAGAAAAGTTGTAATAAAGAGAGTATAATCCCTTAACTCTTTAAATCCTAGTGTTTTTATCAGGTCGATAATGTACCAACTCTGAGTCTACAATGCCCTAATCCTAATTGAACGTAGTGTTTTGCATAAGCAAAGGCACTCAATAAACACACTGGCTGATCTTCCCTGAAGATTAAATATGATACCAATCAGCAGACCTAGAAAATGAGAGTCAAGGATTGGGACCCTCTTCACCGTGTAAAAGACCAGGTTGAACGTACTCCTTTAATAGACCTACATTCAGAGAGAGCCACACACTGTACCCATAATCCAAGCTGCTGGACAGCTCTGCAACAGAACTCTAGTTCTGGATAGTTTACTACATGACCACTGCTCTACCTATAATCCGCCTCCCTCCTCTTAACACATACATGTACACACACACACACACACACACCTTTCTGGCCTCAATTACTGCTCTAGAAGCTGAGACGTGGGTATTGCATCCATTCTCTGCTGTTTGGCTTAGAAGTCACTGCTATTTGCGGCTCATCACTGCCAGAGTCTACAGATGCTAAAACACTGATTCTGATTAATTCCAGTCCTTGAAAAGCTGCCAAAACATTATCCTTATCTGCTTTTTGTCATACCCACTCACTCTGTACCTTCCCTAACTCCACCTTTTTCATACAATGAAATTAAAGTGGAAGCCTATAAAATGAATCTTCTGCATTATGGTAAATGCCAAAAGGCATTTTTGCTCTCTTGAAAATCAGGCATTTATATGTAATTTGGCAACTTCTTAGGATGCAGTACATCCTTGGAAGACCCTTTAAAATTTCCATGGACAGATCTGAAGGTAAAAACAACACAGAAAAAGTAAACTGGATCTCCTATACTCCTGTGCAGTGCTGGAATCTGGCTCTAACCATTAAGCCCTTTCAGGAATGCTGTAAGAAGGTGGCTCTTAACTCTTTGGAAAGAAAGTTTCCTGGAGATTTTACCCTTGAGAGTTACTAGAAAGGGGAAATTAGAGACAGAGTATATGGATCATCTTTACTCTTGGCCTTACTTCTATTCCTCTGTTCTTTCTCTTGGGGGAAGAACTGAGAAGCAATTTTGCAGTAGATGCATTTCCTTTGCTTAGAGTCTATTCCCTTTTCTATACCTCTCTTCTACTAGCAAGAGAAATTCCTGTAAGGCCCTCTTGCCTGGAATGGCAGAGATTGGCCTAAACCTTCTAGGTCACTCCTGTGAACTTTCTGATTGCCTTGCTTGAGCATGTCCTGTTGCGAACCTGTTCCATTGCTGAGGCAGCAATCTCAAGCATAGAGGAAAGTAAGTCCTCAGAGAGTCACCTAGATACTCTCTCTCAGCCGTCAAGGACAGCTCTTTGCTGGAAGTGGTTTCATTTCCCACTAGGTTATTCAGTGCTGCTGGGAGGCCAGGGAGACGAGAAGCTACTAACATACTCGATAAAGGCAAGCCTCCAATTCCGTACTGACAGATCCAGAAAACAACATCTAAGATATAAGTAGGAAAGCATCACTGTTGCATTCAAGCAGTCTGCCAAATTAAACTGTGCTATAGAGCATCTGAAGAGAAGAAATTTAGCTGAACTTATTACCAAGAGTATCAGAACTAATATATGAGGAGCTGATTAACGTGTATATACATCGAACTACCCTTACTGATCAGAGTTATTAAGAGTTTAGGATCTCTGTGTGAGGATGATTTTATTTAATTATTTAGTTAATTAAGAGATTTTTGGGAGTAGTGATAAGTGAAGAAATCCACCTAAGGGTTTGGAACTATTCAATTTCCTTCTACTTTGCAACAGAAATCTACGGAGAAATCACAAAGCAGCACAATAGTGTTTAATTATAGTTCCAGCTCTGCTAATTACCGTTTGGTCACACCTATAATCTACATTAAGCCATAGTGTGTAATAAGCAGCTCTGTGATATTAACCTAGGTGGCTTTACGGGATTTCATATTCTACTATTCACTGGGACAAACATAGCATCATTTATCACTTTCCAGGAGAGGATAAAAATCACGGGGGCTGGCCTGGTGGCGCAGCAGTTAAGTGTGCACGTTCCACTTCGGCGGCCTGGCGTTCACCAGTTTGGATCCTGGGTGCAGACCTACACACCACTTGTCAAGCCATGCTGTGGTAGGCATCCCATATAAAAAGTAGAGGAAGATGGGTACGGATGTTAGCTCAGGGCCAGTCTTCCTCAGCAGAAAAGAGGAGGATTGGCAGTGCATGTTAGCTCAGGGCTAATCTTCCTCAAAAAAAAAAAAAAAAAAAAAATCAAAAAAGGACTCATTTTGCCATCTTTCCCATACACCTAGGATATAACAGCAGTGATTGTCAGGAGATTGGGTGCCAGGAGGGAAAATAAGGAACAGGAATATAAAAAGATCTACCTCAGCACCTATGACAACAATAAAAGCTGGCCCAATTCTCAGTCTCTGAATGGGTAAGAAGTGCCACCATGGTTCCTGGGGCTCACCAAATGGGGAGGTAAACAACAAAACAAAACAAAAACCTGAAAAGAGACTTACAGAGAATTTAAAGATGGAAATCTCTGAAGTTTTCCAACAGTTCATGTCCTTTATCTTTTAATGATACTTCTTCTCAATTCACCTTTAGATGTTAGTCTTAATAGCACCTATTAGGGATCTGAGTGCTGATAGGCAGGTGACACAGAAATGAGGACTGGAGAGAATAAAGAAAGGCCAGATCCATTAATCTCCCAGCAAGAAGTAATTATACACTGACTTCAGCTGCCTCCCACACATGAGAGGCACTGATCGAGGAACAATTTCAAGGCTGCAACATAATTATTGGGGTAGAAAATGCAGTGAAGAAATATTTGGGACAGACCCTCCCCTCTCCTCTTCACAAATGTTAAGTCCGATACCTTCACCTTCACAGTCAAAAGGCAGAAAGGAAACTAGTCTCTTCTAGCTGACAACTGCAGTAGCTCTAAAAACTCTTTTATCCAAAAATGAAAGATAATTGAAGATAATGGTTAGATGAGGGTTCAGCTTTATTCAAAATTATTGGATACAATTATGTAGAAAGTAGAATGTCACACAAATAAATTAAATACTATAATAACAAGATGTTCTCTTTCTTCTATAATTCCAAAGGTCCTTCAAGATTTTACAGTGACTCAGCATCAGCAATACTAACAGTAATATAAGTTTCTGATTCATGGACAAACACAGAAGTACACCCCCTGCCAATGTATTATATAAAACTTGATTTGCTCACAAAGTTTTATTGTGGGTTATTAAAAAGAAGAGTAGGTTTTTTTTTTTTTTTTTTTGAGGAAGATTAGCCCTAAGCTAACATCTGCCGCCAATCCTCCTCTTTTTGCTGAGGAAGACTGACCCTGAGCTAACATCTGTGCTCATCTTCCTCTGCTTTATATGTGGGATGCTTAGCTCAGCATGGCTTGCCAAGCGGTGCCATGTCCGCACCCCGGATCTGAACCCCCGAACCCTGGGCCACCGAAGTGAATGAGCGTACTTAACCACTGCGCCACCTGGCCGTCCCAAGAGCGGGTATTTTTTTTAAATCCCATTTATCAATTTATTATGTTATTTATTTGACTCAAATTAAAATACAAAGGGAAAAAAATTCTCAGTTACTTGAACTGCCTCCTGTTGACTGGGATTTTGAGACGAAATAAGTCTACTTTAATTTTTTAATAATTAAGGATTATTTTTGCTTATTCTGAAATATAGTGATTCCTTGTTGCAAGAGGCTGGCAGGTAAAAATCATGGAATAACAGAGGATGGAGAGAGAAATCTGAATTCCTGCTTTCCACAAAGCTCTTATCAGAATGCAATAGAATTTTACGAGTAAATCTCAAAACAACACATTTAATTACTAGTGAAGGAGGAAATCGGCCCCTTTTCAAACACTAAGTACTCTTTGACTCTACCTCTCCCTTTAAAAAAAAAAGAAGAAAGAGGCTGCTGGTCTGCTGAACTTCCAGATTTCATTTAGGCTGCTTTGAAAAAGAATTTGATTGTAACTCTGATTAATTTCCAACACATCTTGTAGCAGAAGGCAAGAAGGAAAAAGAAAGACACAGTAGCTGGCACCATAACCAGACATCAACCAGTTAGTTCTTGGAAGGTACATAGTCTATTATTCACAGGTGACTTACTTTAGCACTCAATTTTAACCAATCAGCAGTTACGGCTGTTCCAGCGTGTAGCAGGAAATGCAAGTGCAGCGAACATATAATTTGAAGACTACATACTAGCCATAGGGAGTTCTGCTGCAAGGATCCTTCTACAGTCTCCGGCTCAGACACCAAAGAGCTCTTTTAGTTAAGAAGCGATAACAGATCAAACAATCCTAATATTCAAGCCTGTCTAAATTCTCAGTGTGTGAGAACGGATAAATTATGCTGAAAACTTAATAAAGGAGAAAAATCTCATAAATGAAAGTAAAAGGCACAACACAAACCACATGCAAGTGGCAAAGGTTTTGCTGAATGAAGTATCTATCCTGCTCTTCTAGGTCTTCTCATTCTACAGTCTCTTGCCTGCTTGAAATTCACCACATTTTCCCTCAGCAAAGCTGTTAGCTTTGCAGCTGATGAGTGATGATAGGCGACCTTATGTACTACCTCTGAAAATTGACTATTTTTTGTCCACAGAAGGTTTATGATCCCTCCCCTTCCTGTATTGTTTCAAGGAAAGCACTAGAATTAGCTTCTCAAGAATAAAGAATTTGAGAAAAATTCATTCTTTGGCTGTAACTACTTCCTTTTCCAAACACACTTCTTATCTCCTTTCACATACTCATTTCCTAAAAAGTCAGGGCTGGAGCTTGTCATCTCTATTCCGTTGCCTTACCCCTTAGGATACAAAAACGAACAAACAAACAATAACCCACAAACCAAATAAGGTGAACACAACAGAAGGCTAAAGCCTTCTTTTGAATCATTCAGAATCACAGATGTCAGAAGAAAAGTCTCTAAGTTATAATATGGATGGATCAAACTGTACTAAAGAATCTAATCACGACTGACGGTCCTGTGAGAAAATATGAGAATTTTAAATCGAGACATCACAAACCACAACCTGCTATTCAGTAGCTTGGGAAAGAGAAATGGGAATGGTTCTCCTCGCTTTTCTTAAACTTTCTGGTCTCAGGGAAACTTTACAGTCTTAAGAATTGAGAACCTTACAGAGCTTTTATTTACGTAGGCTATAGCTGTTGCTATTTACCGTATTTGAAATTACAACAGAAAGATTTTAACATGTACTTAAATTA